CCATCGACGGTTTAAAAACTTGAGAAATTTGGTTATTGTTAGAAAAACAGTCCCGTTATTCAGAATGCAAACAGACGTTCCAAAACCGAAGTTTGACGYAGAGACAATATTTTTTTGAAAAATGAAGTTAGTGAAGTCAAGCTTAAACCGTAAAGAGTTTATCGCACATCTTTYATAAATATTTGAAATTTTATTAACTGCACTTCAGCTTTTAAACGATTTATTTRCAATTTGTGGATTTTGAGTGAGTTTAGTTTTTMGCATCAATTGTARTTGTWAAAGTTGTAAACCTGAGTTTAKATTTTATCAAATACAATTCGGTTTATTGAACGACTAAAGTTTTAAAGCTTTTGGTGTTTCGGGTCTCTGAATGAATAAAAAAAAATGTTTTCTTCAGACCATTGCATAAAATATATATTTTGAATCAGCAAATGTCTCAGCAACGGACTCATTCAAAATTAATTATATAGTAAATTATATTATATTTTAAAATTACGGCAATTATTTTTGAATCAAACCACATCAACCTAATAAAAAACACTAAAAAAGAAGCAACTCACGCGATAAGAGATTAGACTAAACATTTTACTCTGTATCTATAAAAGTTTTTCAAATATCTGCTAAAATTTAAAAAGATGGACTTATATCTACATAAAAATCTAATTTTATTTCCATTGATTCCACAAACTGTATTCCAATTATTAATATAGTAGTTATAATCACGTAAACAAGTTTTCACATAGTAAATGACAAGTTAAATAATATCGCAGTGAAAAACAAATAATTACGAATAAGTTAATAATCATAAGAAAGCATATTTTCACTTCTCTACAAACATTTTTTATGCATTTTCTTTTAGTAGAAGAATTCAAAGTAAACTCATTTATAATACAACATAAGTAAATAATTAATTATGTATGTGGTTTTATTAATATACAAATCTGCTTAAACGTATTGATTCGAAATTGCCCTTTGAATGTTTATTTTTGAAAGAAAACACCAAATGCTGATGTAATTTCAAGTTTGCTATTATACAGCGCATTTGAATAATGCTCAGTTGAATTGAAAATACAATAACTTGGTTAAAAGTTTGAATAAGGAAAATCAGGACTTTTGTTGCAGTTCTAAAAATTCCGGATCTAAAAATGTAGAGCAAAAACGTTATTTTAAAAAGATAAGCAAATTTGCAATTAACAGCTCATGCTGCCGAAAGCAGAGCATTTTTCCTTATTCCAAAAACTATTCAACCGCTAAAACCGCAAAAAAAATTCCCTTTTATTTGAATTTTCGAACGATAAAAATCTTCAATTAAGGTCAACATTTGATAAAAACCATACTCATTTCTCGTGCTTCTTGAACATTAAGTAGCAGCTTTACTTTGAAGCTTTAGGAGACACCTTCTCGCCTTCCTGCCTATGAAGTCGCCACATTTTAGCCTTTATCTTATTTAGCTAATCAACCAATGTTCATACAGTAATTGTGTAAACAGAGTTCAGAATAATCCTTCAAGCAACAGGATATTCAAATGTATTCAGTCATCGCGATAATTTGCATCGTGTCATGCATAATAGACCTGCCCTTCCTCAAGTTCATCTTTATAATTTCTATTACGCATAATGCATAATTACATGCAAACTGCTTGAATAAACATTAGATTCATTCCGATTTTTTTTCAATTTCAGATGATGAAACACGTGCAGCTTTCTCCATATCGGAGCAGAGCTGATACAGTGTCGCTTAGTTCTACAACTTCCTACGGTAGTCTCAGCCCTGAGCCGTTAGGAAGTAGGTCATCCAGTTACTCATCGTTGAATGAGTCTTCTCTTCAGGTAACGATACTTTTATAATCAAGAATTTTACTTGAAAAATCAGTTAAACATTGCAGTAGAAAAAGAAGAAGGATTTTGCGTATTSAATGCTTTCGAAACGMTGGGAAAATAAAGATAAATACGCCTTWCTATTTTARGAAAGTTTGAAACGAGAAATCGTCGTTTTCCAGCGTTTGGCTTTTTCTAAACTCTTCATATTCAAACATGCGAAATGSAAACCSATKACTCCATCTATCTATCGTTAAWTATCTTATAGTTTCCTTAAATCCAGCGTTATAATCATATTGAAGTTATAGGAAAAATGTGAACCTTCCAATAAGTGGCAGATGTTTAACATCAAATTTTCATAACGATAACAGGCGCTAATTAATTATTCAACAAACGTTAACCAGAACTTAATTATTTAAAATATCTGACTTAGTAAATATGAGATGGTGTAATAACAGTTGTGAACTTGAGTTAATATGAATCGCTTACATTAATCAAGAAAAGCGATTAATTTCCAACTACAGCTCAACATTCCACGATAGTATCTCTTGACCAAGAATTTGTAAATAGGAAAATGTAATGCTGAAATTATACTGTACTTCCCTATATGGTCAATGACTTGTATTGGATTCCAAAAATCACTAAAAGCTAATCAAAGTTGATTCACACAAAAGGGCGTCAATACTAAAACAAATGAGGATAATAATATTTGGATATATGCGAAACAAATATTTAATTTCACTTAAATTATCGCTTTGTAATCAGTCGGTTTCAAAGGTTCCAGGCCATCTATTTATGAATGAAATTTAATAAAATTGTATTTAAGAAAATAAGGTGATCATTTGAAGATATGGAAGCAACAAAAGTTTGATTCAATATTACGGTTAAAGCGAGTTTTATAAAACATTATGCTGTATTTTTTGATTACATGATGACTCTGGCTTAAAGTGGTCCTTTTTGTTAATCAAATTATCTGTTTATTTATATACATTATTCCTGGATSGAATCTGGTATAAATTTATGTATCTAGKTTTGAATGAATGTCATTTGACTAAGTTTTTTCAAGCAATCCGATGTCAGATGAAKTATTATAACTTAAAAAGCTCAGCTTTGTCAGCAATTCAGACCAAGCAAGGTTGTAAAGACGCATACGTACTATCCGGGTTAGTCAAGACATTRCACATTTTATTTTATATTTACATTTTATGGTCTCAATTTGAACTGAAAATTGTCTAAAACCACAAATGTAGAAAAACAACTGCATMTTTTAATGAAAACTGTGGATTTTTTAACAAAAACTTCATATTYKTACACAGAMATATTCAGAAATATTAAGCAAGGCAAGTGGTTTGTACGTTATGATCCCATTGAATGACCTGCAGAATTGCCTGATTTTATGCGCTGTGCCTTTTGTTTGGAGSCAAGAGGGGATTCAAAATAGTAGGAGTGCATAAAAATGCCAAAAAAGAATATAAATTATCAGCTGAAATCACGTTTTCAAAGTGTCCGGAAGTTTCATATAAAATCAATTAAGAAACCGTGTCAATTTTAAGCTTTGATTTATTTGTGTGTTTTCTTGTAAACACATCGCAATCACTTTTTTCCTGTAATTTTTTTATTAATATTTTCTGGTTTCAATTCAATAGAATAAAGAATATTTCAAATGTGAAATCAATGATGAAAACCTTATCCATATGCGTATTACAGGGATGTAGCTTGGAACACAATTCTGATCGAACATGTTTACATTTAAGAAAATTATTTTATTTATAATTGACGTTCTGTACACTGGAATCGTAATTTAGATTACGGGTTTTTCAAATATTCGTTGTTTACAAAGATCTGTTTGGTAGGAAAATTAGGCACAACTTCAAAACCGTATATTGAAATGATATTTATGAGATCCATAATTTCCGATACTAAATTCAAATGTACAAGAATATACATACAACTTAAGTATAAATACAAAAAAGGCAAAATAAAAACTTCCGGACAACAAGGTTTTATGTGTTAGTTTTTCTATATCTGCAGTCACTTCTTCAGAATGAATTTTCCTCACACTTCCTCTCGTTGTGTTATTTTTTTATTTTTAACTCATGTTTCTCATCACGCAAATCTCATCATGCATTTTTTTTCTCTCAAACGGCTCACATTATAGATTTTCACTAAGAGTACATTTTTTTGTGAAAAAAACATGGTCCTTGCGAAATCTGCCTTCAAATCCGCACTTTTCTTCAGTGGCGTAGAAGCAAAGGGCAAATAATTCCGCTCGACCCCACAATCAATGCTAGTGGCAACTTGAAACAATTATCTTGCCAGTCATAAAGTAGCCTTAATCATTGCTAACATCCTGTATTTCAAAAATTTACTTGGTCGGAAGTTCCATTTAATATATATTTTTTAATAATTTATATTCTTATTTGCCCCATATGTGTGTACCTACTATTAAGTATGAAAATTATGTGAAACAAACATTACGTTTGCCAAACTACTATTCATATCTTTAAAATGTGGTTATCGAATCAACTTTTATCTGGTGGAAATACTCATTAATAAGTACTGAAACTATTAAGTCAATTGTTGCTTGTCAGTACTTGTGTAGTAAGTAATCTGATGGAGTTTTTTCTATGTCCATTTTCAAGAAATTGTCATAAAGTCTTATGCAGCTGAATTAAGAGAAGAAAAACAGTGAGGCCTTCGACCGGCCTTACAAGGCAACCTAATTCCACGGGAAAATACCATAAAATTCTCACGCATGTGACGCCAGTTTTTTTCTTCATAATAGCTCTCATAATGTAATGTTAATCATAGCGTTATTGTTGCTTTTGGCTTACTAACTGTTCTATGCCACCACGTTTTTAAGGAATTATTTTGTCTGACTAATTGGCCTTTCTGCTGGATAGTAATGCATAAACACAGCCGAATTGAGAACAAATATAATAATGGTTTACAAAAACCAACTCTTTAAATCTGATCTACTACTTTATATATGTTTGTCTGCAAGCATAATATTGTGGTGTGTAAATTACCGGAACGCTGAAAATGATGGTGACTAGTGGAACGATTTGCTTTTTAATTGAAGAAACATGCATGGTTTTGGTGACATTAACACACATTGAAATATAATTATATTCCTCGAATCAGGATCTATTTGCCTTTGAACGCCACACCTTTTATTTGTTAAAGTGAGTCTTTGATCTCTTTATTGCATTGTATGAAATGTTGAAACGTCGTAATGCAAATAAAATGAAATATTTAGTTTACTTGCGTATTTAATCATGCGAACTTTTATGTTCTTTGAGTTTATTGTGTTTGTGAACTGTCTATAAAATGTTCAACAGCAAAATTGCCAAGGTGATAGTAAACTCTTTGAGAGTAAAAATGCGTAAAACAAGTAGTTTATCAAATTAAATAAAATACGTTGAAAATGTTCTTAATTATTTAACTAGTCACTTGAGTTAAACACTTTTAAATTTGCGGCGATTATATCGGTAACAACACGGACTTTTAATGTTAAATTTTTTTCAACCTGTCGGGTAGTTCTTATTAATTTTGTATATGTGTCCCACAACGAGCTTTAAAGAAAAGTTAATATTCCATCAGTCATTCGCTTTAAAACCTCAGACTTTTAAATGATTTGTTACTTCTATTGTCGCTTTGGCTTGTTCCTTTAGTTCAATTAAGCGCTTGCTCCTAAAAAGATTGTTTATTTTTTTCACCCAGTTTGTTTGTGGTTCTTCCCAAGTAAAATGTTAATTTTTTAATACATAAAGACTTTTCCATAGATCTCTTTTAGTTTATATACGGACTTTAAACAGGGGGAAAGTTCAGATTTTTACAAAATTACCATTTATTTGCAAGAAAGGCTCTTCCAATGTGGCAGGTATATCAATTTAAATTTAACATGCGAAATTAAATTATTTTTGTGTTCAAAGTTAACAGTTAACACGTTTAACAGTAATATGTTTTGAATAACACAACATAACATTGTTTTAGTTTAATCAAATTCTGGAATTCTATCAGTTTATGGAAGCAAACATTAAAATTAAAAATGTAACTTTAACCAGACTGGCAAGTAAAACAGTTTTAGACTGCATACAAGTACTACTCCATATACAGTATGTCTCCGAAAATTGGAACCACATGGAAAACTTTTTATCATTATATTGTGGAAAAACCTTATTCTTTTACTTAGTAATGATTATTTTTTGGATTTTTTGAAGTGTGTTTTAGATCCAATACCTCTAGCTCACATTGCATGCACGACCTTATTTAAAACTCAGAATTTTAGAGCCGATTTATAAAAACCGACAAAACTAATTATTTATGAACGAAGTCCAAATGCGCTGATAAGTCACTTGTTTTCCATTCAGAAACTATCAAAGGTATTTTAGAGACCAATCGTTAACAATTACAACAATAAATTAGATCAACGAACCGGAAACTATTATCCAATAACACCGACTTATCAAATAAATAGACAAAACTTAGACTTGATCGCATCAAATAAAATTGATAGCGAGGGTGAAAACATCCGCTCTTTGAAAATGACCAGGAAATCTACAACCTGAGGGCTACTGAAAGAAAGCTGACTAATAAAAATGAAGGAAACGTTTGTGAAATCAACATGAACTTTCAAAATTGAAATGTACTGGAATTCTTAAAATGTAAGAATTTCTAATAAATGCCAAAACATCAATAGCTTCGATCACTTTGATCATCTTTGGGTTTATTTGATAAATTATCTTGGAAAGTTTAGCATATTTATCTATTTTTTAAATAATTTACTCCCATCGATTTCTCAAAATTCAAAAAAAATGCAAAAACCAGCCAAATACACATACTGAATAAAAATGATGCAATGAAACCTTGCAGAAATGTTTAAAATGAGCCAGTTTCAATCCCGATTAAAACATTCTCGCGCTTGCAAAAATCGTGGTCACCTCGAAAATTGTCACTTCAAGTAATATATTTTTCCACAATTTCCCGACTCATATTACATGAATTGCATG